TTTTTTTTTTTTTTTTTCTTCAGCAGTTTGTTTATTTGTTCACAACGAAAACATTAAAAAAACATTTAAAACAACAAATCATCTCACAAAATGCAGCAGCTGTCTCAATCATTACTCGATCAAAAAAATTCCATTTCCCGGCTGTAGTATCATTAGCGTCAGAAAACTTAAATCAACTTTACCCTTTGCTTCCAAGGCAATCTTTTCCACTAACAACCGCCAAATATCTTCACCACAAACAACGAAATACAAGAATAATAAATGCAGGAGATCACAGTAATCTTTCTGCCGCACTTCATCCAAAAGTTTTCTTTGCTATAACTCACCGAACAACACAATTGTGAAAAGACCTCCAGCAAACAAATGCTGCCTTATTAAAACGACATACCGACACCTTTTTAGACAACCCTTCGCCTCAACAATTTGGGGGATAAGAATCGTTTACGTCATCATACCAAACTGACAAATAAAACACCCCGATACTGTCAGTCCGATGTAAAACGTGCTTCGACCCCAATCCCAACCGTACAAGCATCTCATCTCCTTCGCTCAAAATAGATACACGCAACCAAAAAACACAGAACACCATAAATCTTCATTTAGACATTCCCAAAATTACAGCTCGTCGGACATCCATAATTATTAATTGACGCATCAAACCCACCACCTTAAAAACAAAAAATTCACAATTGGCTAAGACGTCCCATTCCTGCCACAACCCAGCCAGTCCCTCCAGAAAATTCAATGTATATCATGCCCAACAGAAATCAATAAGTCTCGTCCTGCCAAACATTATGATAAAGTTCTTCCATGACCGCAAGTTTCAAAAGGACAACGATGCGTACCGAACAAAATTTCGAACAATATTCCAGACAAAAGAAAACAATAAAAAACAACATCCGTATAAAATATCTGTATAAAATAAACAAGTAAAGAGAATCTCCACAATCAACATAATGAAACAACTCAATACCATACTTTATACACTGTAAAAAGCACCCGCTTTACGAGATCAATCATCAAATGACTGAAATTAACTCAGTAAACAACCTTCAAAAATGAATTATACAGAACGAGAATAATACAACAACATCCCAGTTATATGCAAGACAGTAAAGCATTTCATCAGTGACAACCACAACAAGTATATTAAGCTATCGACGTTGTTTTGACGGCCGTTCCGGACTCTCACTACCCTGCGGACGTTTACCAAGCGCTTTATAAACGTCTCTTTCGCGCTCTCTCTGATTGCTAATTCGATCCTATTAATGTTTTCTTTAGGAGAGTATAGGTACAATGGCAATCATTACAACAAAATTTGCTCTTTGGTAAATAAGCTACCTTTAAAATACGACGTCGTTCTTCTCTGCTTCGACTCCTTTGCCGCTTTTCTTTGCTTCTACTTCTCCTTCGCCTCTCTTTGCTGTGACTTTTCTGCTTCTCGTCCCTACTATAGTTTCCTACCCGGTCATCTCTGCTTCTGCTCTTCTGATGTTCCTCTCGGCTTTGGCTTCTGTCCCGACTCCGGCTCCTTCGCCTATCTCTCGTCCGGTAGTCTTGCCGACTGTCTTTGACGCGCTTTTTACCGCCTTTATGATGACGCCTATGATGGTGATGTTTTACTTTTTCCGGCGAAATCTTATTTTCACTGTTGTGTGTAGCACTGTGCAGTTTACGTCCTTCAAATGACGCCCCTCGCCCCCTGAATCGTAGGAGACAATTAAAAAGGCTGGGTAACAGAAATAAAGACCTTCGAAAACTGTAACTTACTTCCTTGACCCGGTAGAAGAATTGGAACTTGACTCCGAAGAAGATCTAGACCTACTGCCATTGCTTGACTGCTCACTTTCCAAATTTTCTTGTGGACCTAGAAGTGCAGCTAAAATAAATTTCAACTGTGTATAAATAAAAACAACGGTACTTATTGCAACTAACTTTTTTTCAATTTCGCAGTACCATTCTGCAACCTGCGCATCTCATCTGCTTTTGCAACAATTTCTCTACGTTTTCTCTCCAATTCGGCTACTGCTGCCGAACTTGCATTTTTCAATTCGCCGTTCCTAACATCGGTAGCTGATGAACTGCCTCGAATTTTGTTCAAAACGTCATTAAGCCTTAACCAGTTGGGTGCCTTAAATAATAAAACCGAACTTGACTGCAATTCGATAAAACTGCGCAATCGTGTGACCGAAAAACAAAGAGTTAAGTTGGTAAACTTCGTTGGCAAAACAGAACTGACCCTGAGTCTGCGATAAACCTCTAAAAGTATAAGCGATATGGTTCGCACATCTCTATCGCTAGCATCGAAAGCTTCACACCAAGGAAGCGGAGTCTGCGGTAGGAGTACAGGCTTCTGAAATTTTACCGACATCCGTGAACTAAACCAAAGTAGTATTAGTACATATAATGTCTGATTATAACTTCATCTACCAGCGTCAAACTAAGAAGTACAACTTACACTTATTGTACGAGCAGCAAGGAAAATACAAGCGCAGGCAATTGTTTCCGGTGGATATCTAAGAAAAATATCCGTACGCAAGCCATCATTCATATAGCTCCTAAAAACGGGGTAAAACATGGGCTCTCAATAAACAAATGAATCACAGTGCTGGAGTAAGAGAATTCGTAATTTTTACTCTTCTAAACTTACCACGCTCGCTGAATCAATTCATTATTGTCGAGAAGAGCCAACGCACTTAGATAGGCATAAATAAGCTTATGTGGATGATTCACGTGCACTACAAACCCAAGGACATTCAGTACCTTACGCTCTGCCTTGATTACTTGATTCTTCAAGTTTACATACTTGCTATCCAGCAACATCGGGACATACCTAGAACATTTATATGGTGGACGCTACAATTTTACAGGCCTTACCTCCAGTATATAATCCGGCAACTTGCACTGGGCCCTTCAAAAGATTATTTTACTTACCATGAATATCTGAAAACATATTATCAAAAAGGCATAGCAATGAACCGTGAAGCTGAATACTCAACCAGACTAAAGTTAAAACTCAAAAAACAAAACCTGAAGCAGTGACAAAAAGCCTTATTCAAAAAAATAAATTTTAATTTTACATAGAAATTTCCTTACTAACAAACAAAAAAGAAAAACTACAAATCCATAAAGCCATCGAAAACAAACCTGCACTTCTCAAGTTCCTGTACTTTCAGTAAACCTTTACACCTCAAACTAAACTTCTAAATCATAGACTGCGCCAGATATTTCGATTCAGCAAACAAACTAACAAACAAAAAGCTTGGAATTCAGAACTAAATAACTTTAGACGGAACTCCAATAAACCATTTGACACCTAGATTAATGCAGCCGCTCTTTCAGGCAAAAATTGGGATGCTGAAAGTCAAACAGATATAGAAACGCCTAATATATGAAAAGCTTATCTGGACTACAGTTCCTGTTTTATTCGCTAAAAAATCAAAGAAAACTTAAAAATTTCAATCTGTGCTATCTCTGGTCAATGAAAGAATTAAATTAACTTATGAATATTTTATCTGACACAGTCAGAACAACCACTAATCCAAGCAGAGAAAGACTCCATTCGCTCCCCTGTTTTGATATCAAATCGTAAATATAATTCTAATTGCTAAAAAAATTTAATAAAAACTTATTACTCTTCTGTTATATCTTGAGCATAATTGATGCTGTGTTAGCATTAACATTCATCCAACTCTAAAAAAATATTTTATAATTCCCCGCAACAAAAACAAAAAAACAAATGACTCGCCTTGAAAAACCACGAGGTGTCGAGATGGTTTACTGAAAACAGAAAATGAGAAGTTCAGATCATTTCCGTGCTGGCGCTGTTGGATTTGATCCATATAATCATTCTGGGACTATATTGATTTTGGATTGCAAAACAGCGCACGTTAAGGTGATATGAGCAGCACTGGAGAACAGTCAAAACAATACGCCAAAAATAAATAAACAAAAGTCGAATCCGACTTCAGGATGCTCCATTGGAGAGTGAAGGCCTGACGCCTGAAGAATGTGATAGCAACGCACCATAATGCTATCGACTTCTGCCAAGCTCACTGTTACCTAGACGGAAATAAACGATAACTGTTTGCAGTAATGCGAATACGTCCCGTTTCCCTCAACTACTGAATAGCCACCGATTAAACAGACTGTTGAGTAAAACGGAACGCATTAAAACCTTATGGCATAAGATAGAAAAATTATTAAAAAACTCATATACAGTGAAAAGCTAACTAGAAGCAGTAAAAAACGAACTAAAACTTAACTAAAATCAAAAACAAATAGCTACACAGAGAAAAAAAGTAGGTTCTCACCGACGAATTTGACGTACATAAAAAACATTTGGAAATCCAACGCCTTTTTTAAAGGCTAAAGTAAAAAAAGGGGGAAAAAATTAATACAGCAAATACAGTTAAGCACCAATTTCCAATCCAAGGCAAAAACAATAAAGAGCGGAAATTGGTAAAAAGATCTTACTTTTACTACAAAAACTTTCTAATCGGTAAGCCTACAGACTTTATTTATATTCTGCTGGCGACAAATATACAAATCCTACAGTCCACAAATAAAAAAAAAACACATATAATGTTCTGAATAGCAAATTCAAAACAAATGTTCAAATAAAAAACAACAAAGAAATACTAGCTACTGAAATGAACTGTCATTAATCACAATCTCTGCTGAAGAATAGTCCTACTATCTAGGATCTCCATGCTGTTAATCCTGAGAATATAAGGATGTGAAGGGCAAACATGTTCTTCTTTGTCAAACATAGCAACAGGTGCATTCGTCTTTCCAATAAACTTAAACTTCCTTCCAGTCTACAAATCTTACCTTTCAAGCTTCACTGTTCAAAGCTATGATCCAAACCTTTGTTAAATTATAGTTTGTCTTAAGAGAAATAAAGAAAAGAAGTTATGAAGCAACGAAAAAAAAACAGAAATGACAGATACTCAACCTACTAAACATTGCAAAGATCCCAACAAAATTACATGCAAAAAATTTATGAAGCAACTTCGAGGAACAATCAATTCGGCTGCCTCTTCAGATAGGCATCAGAATTTAGTAGTTTCTAAAACACCTCAAACAAAAAAGGTGCACTTTGAAAAAATTTCTTTTGAAAATGGAGAGAAAAAGACAAAATGAGGAAAAAAGCAATATCAGAAACATTTAGTTCCTAAAAAGATCCACTTTGACGTGGTAATTGCAGTCAGACTACTGGAACTTTTAAGCTATTAAACAACAATAGAAAAAAAACTTTCTGCAGCGTAAAGATATGCAGAAATCCACAAAATGACGTGCTAAAACAATTGCAAATTCATACAAAGAATATTGAAACTTACTCTTTAGATTCTGCACGTTTCCCATGTAAGTACTCCAGCCTATGAAACACATTAATCACATCACGTGGCCTTCTTGGAGCCTCCTCTATTTTACTTGCTAATAACAAACAACCCATGGCAATATACTATAAGAGCAATTTTAGAAGTATGAGAAATTAACAGATTAATAAAGGTT